TATTTTTATATTTGCGATGGAACTAAGAACTAAGGTAACTGCCACATCATTGTTGATATTATATTACATTTTGACATTAACACATACTCTGGCTAGAATAAATTAATAGGGAATATTGACAAAAGAAATATAAGAAAAAAAACACTTTTTTCTTCTTTAACAAAGATTGTTAACCTATAACTAGATACAGTACTTAAAGATATAGATAATCAGGATTGTAGGATTAATGCTTATATTAAACTAACGGTCAATTATAGTTTGCCTAACTGCCGGTCGAAGACTGCTAACAGACTTTTTCAAAAAGAGTACTTCTTAAAAAAAGAAATCATACTTTACCCATTTACAAATAAACATGAACTGCGTTAGAAATGTTTACCCATTTTCATTCAAGGTGTTGCTGTACAAGCTTTTTTTCTTCTTCTTCTCTTCTTCTTCTTCTTCTTCAGGAGTAATACGTAATTCGTTCGTATATCGCTTGTATAGGGAAAACAAACAACAACAATACTTTCTACTTTTTTCATGCCTTTTCTGTTGTTTTAATTAATGCGGCTCAAATTGATATGCTTTTCTTATGACTTTAACAATAAAATTGTATATTTATGATTGCTTAATATATTACACTTCGATATTTCAGTCATCTATTGAAAAGCATCTAAAGAATGCTGCCGACTTGTTCAGTTCTAAAAACACAGTTTTTAATCTGGCACAAGAAAAAGAATATATGTAATGTGTTTCTTTTCTTATTTAATAAAACATATCACCCATTTGCATATATAAATGGACTATATTGTAGCAATATAAATGCAATATATATTCATGAATGGCAATATCTCAGCTATGTTAATAAATCTTTTCTTCTTCGGAAAATGACTGGTAATAATGTTTCTTAGGTTTTATTGCAATAATTAGGATATATATTGCAATTTGTAAGTGCTTAATGACGTTATGATTGAAAACCATCTATATTCAATATCTTGGAAATTTTTATAGACCAAAGGGGATTTCAAAAAGGTGTAAGCCTGCGCTACATGCAATATTAAAATATTAAATCTGATTGAACTCTTAAAATGTGCGGTAAATGTACAATAAAAACAACATGAGAACACTTACAAGAGTTTAAAAATGTTGAATGCAGTACTGCAACAAGTAACAAAAGATGCATAAACACATGAAATAAAAGACACCAAGCAGAAGCAAGAAAGTCCAATCCAGAATTGAATAACTTTTACGGGATCAACTACAAGAGGACATGTAATATATAACATAAACAGAGCGAGAAAATAAACACTCAAAGTATCAGATATAATTTAATCTCAGCAATATTGTGAAAGAAATTACGAAAAAGTAATAGTAATAGTGATATACCGGCAAGTATAGGGAAAATTGTATAATAGGGAAACGTAATATGACCTCACGAATGGTATTAGGAAGCAAGAAATTTTAACAAAACATACGCGTAATTGAAAGGGATATTAGAAATTTACCATTTATTTGCCCCTCCCTTGTCTCTTTTCTATATCCTATTTTTGTTGAATTTGCCAGGTTAATTTGTTTGTTATATAGATATAGTGCTATAAAAATACAAAGCAACAATATGAAAGGGACAAAAAACACAATAAGAAGATAGTAAATGTGTATTTCTCGGAAGGCATGTCGTCTAAACGGATTGTTGTTATTTAATGCTTTTTGAAAAGAGACAATTACAATCCAGAGGCAGGATAGGATAACATTGTAAATTTTGTTCTCATTCATTGGCTAGGGTCAGATGTATTTAGTATTTCTATAGAAGTGGTTTATATTCGCCATGACAAACGTAATGCAATTTGTGCACAATTACAGAAACTTCCCTAAATCAATGTAACCCCCAATAAAACTGTTATCTAATCCTGCAATAATTCCCATGGAACATTTGTTATACATGATTTGTCCTGACAAGTAGTTTAAAATTCTTTTTGCCTGTACATATATTGCAATTCTCAAGTTTCTTAGTGTTTCCAATATTCTTGAACATTATGAAAACTATGTGTACAAATGCAATTTTTAAATATGGTATCCGAAATCTTAATTCAAGAAAAACTTTTCCGTAATGCAACGCATAAACTGTAGTTCATCTGTATCACCATTTTATGTTTTGTGGACAAAAGCATTTTGTCTTTTTTATAATTGCTCTAAATTTCAAATTATTATTTTAAAGAGTTTCTCTTTGTATTATACGTTTCGTCTTTATTTTCAAGCTTTAATTATCATTCATATATGACTGTGTTTCTAATGTATAGTGTAGTATTATTCTATCGTCAGAGTTTTTTTTACATGAAATTATAATTTTGCTTAATCAAGTTCGCTGTGCCTATGTTATCACATATGAATGAAAAGATCAAAGGCACATGTCATAGCATTAAACTCTCGTCATTAGCTCTCCCTTTAAACAGTTGTCCTTTCATCTAATGACTAAGTTATGCATACCACCAAGCAAAATTTTACTTAGTTCGTGATTTGTTCCTCCCCTTATCATACAGTTTAAGAGATGAAGTCTCTCTTTGATGACAGTACCAAGTCTTAAGTGTCACGTAATAGTTACTCTTGTCTTTTCTTGTTTAAATCGACAAAAAAATACATGTAGGGAATGAGGTCAAATTTGAATTATAGATGTTATTTGAAAAAAAAAGATAATTTACTATGTCATAGAATTACATTTAATTGTTATTCAAAACTTTAACTATGTACAAACAGTTATTCAACACACGATTACCGCGGTGACACGTGTAATTTGGTTAGTTTTCAAGGTTTACTTTTGCGCTTAAATTAACAAAGATTGTCATTAAAACAGTGATTATTACATCTCAATATCAAAAATGATGTCCTGCATTTTATTGGTCCATCGGCGGATGCTTTAAATACTTATAAGCAGGATTGATATGTGATAAATGTTGTTAGTAAAATAAGATTTTTACTTACTTTACATTCATTCCTTAAATATTTTTATGTTGTAGAAAATAGATCAATCTTACTATGAATATAGGGTAAATATTAAGGGTATTTCTTAAAGAAAAGGTCTTAAATTTAAAAGGCACATTATGCCTCAGAAAAAGATTTAAACAATTATAAAGAAAGGGCAAGCATGATTTTAGTACGTAAAAAATGATTTTATAGCATTTAAGATGCTTATCACTAAAGTAAGAAGCACAGAATGCGAAATTATTTGACATAAAAGTAGCAAACTTTAAACAAGTATTTTTTCCCTCCATACAAACTTCTTTATCTTTTTATTCTCATAAATTGCCAAAAAGCAACAAAACCAATAGATGGTTCAGGTAATTGGTAAGTGAGAAACTTTTTGGAAACTATAACATGACACAGAAATTAAAAAGTTTAAAGTCTTTGAAAAGTAATAATAAAAGCATTTCTAGGGCATAATTAGCCTTTAAAGATAATTTCATTTTATTCATACAAATATTGACTAGAAAATAAATGTAACCAAAAGTAAAGTTATTTTATGTTGCCTAGTATACAATTTTAATCCTGTATCTATACGCAGTAGGATTTTTTTTCAATAAGTTTTTAAGGTTAGGCAATATATACCTATATTTATGTACGTTGTAATTTTTCTGCAATTATTTCTACAGAACACAAATGAATAAATGAACTAATTAATTAATTAAACAGGAAAGAACAAACTAATGGATGAATGGGTAAATAAATTTCGGACACAAAATACAATGTCCATAGCACAAAAACGGATAAAATATAAAATAACGCCAAACTTTATATAATTTAAACCAGAATATAGCAGTCATATAATTACAAATAAATTGTACATGTATTGGTGTCTTAAAATGTTTAAATACATAATATAAAATGATAATGTATGTTTATTTACAACATAAAGCTTGTGTATTTTGCGTTTTTCTTACTTACATAATTATTTCATATAATTGTCAACATCTCTTTTATGCGTTTGAGTTCAAGAAGGGAAATCATATATAAAAGATTTCATTACCATAAGCATTGTATTATAACTCATTTAAAGATTTACTATACTCAAATTTTATGTTAGAAAATATTGATAAATTCTACACAGTCTCTTTGTAAATGTAAAATAAACATGTTTTGACTTCACATAAAATAGATATCTTATGTTTAAAATTCTAAACACTATAGGTGGTCAATATATGAATATATAGTGCCATTAACAAAGCTTGCGTTGCTTTAAGAAATTACCTTTATATGTTATATATCCGATCCTTAAAGATCGTTCAGCACGACAATTTTGTTGTGCTTGTAATTTAGTTCTGTCTATTCGGCTATTTTCTTGTTGGGTGGTTCCAGTATTCCTCACTTGAATACTGTTGAATCACCCTTAGGATATGTGGCCTGCTTTTTAAATTTGTCTTTTGACGTATTATCTATGATATGCAGGCTTCATAACCTCTGACCCCTTTTCAAAATTCCATTTTATTTAGTTCCGCCCATGGTTTTCTCGTTTAGGACACACGCATTTTTTTACTTGGGGACCATATGCCGCTTTTCATGGAATGGCACGGAAGTGTCACATTGAAGGTTCCATGATAACCGCCATATGAACACATCTGTGGATGTTTAAAAAATCCAAATTATACCAGTTTATGTTTAATGCTGAATTCTGCTTAAGCCGGTGCTAGGGGACGAGCACGGTAGTTTGCACTTGACAGTACCGTCCATGAACAGGCTTATTCAAACCGAGCCTGCAACATTTTCAATTTTGCCGTTGGGCTTTCTTTAGTGATTCTTATTTTCTCTATTTTACGCAGCTTCCTGTACATTGTTTATCGATTCGCTTATTCAAGTTTGACATATTCAGTTAGAATTTCATAAATTGCTGTGATTAAAATGTTTTCTTCAAGGATGGGCATAGTATATCTTTAATTTCATCTTATTGAGAAGAAAAAGAGTGTAAAATGTTAAATCCGCATATCAGTCATGTTTATACTTAAACTATAGCAATTTCTTTTCTTTTTTTTCAGGTTTACTCAGTCATGATGAATACTCTTTATATCACAGCTATTTCAAGTGGATTTTTGCTTCTTCTAAAGCTAGTAAATGGTAAGTATCTACATGTTTTTAAAACAGAAAAAACAACATATGTTTAAATTGTATATAATAGTTCAAAATGACAAAATAATATTATAACATGCAATTTATTCAGAAGTCGTATTTCTCACATAATGTATTATAAATGTAAAGATACGTCATCGTATTTTCAGTTTCACATAAAAACTTTCCTAAATCAACTAGCTTTAATTTTAGTAACAATTCTGTAAACAGAGATTTTATACCTTGTAGTCAACTTAATTAATAAAACATGATTCATTAACGATGGACGTTTTCCTCTAATTATGATTGAAGAGCTTATAAAATATTATCAAAAGCATCCAAAATTGATATTTATGGCATAGATATGATCAAAAACTTTCCATTTTCATCTCCTCAGAATTCCTACAATAACATTTAATAAACATTCAAGTTTCCCTATTTACCGGTATTTAATGTTATAGAATGGTTTATATGTCTCTCATGCAGTCCGGCGCCCCTCATTAAGAGAGTTTTGTTAGAAAATAAGTTAATTTGGCTCGGCGTCTATCATTTCATCAGAAGATATGTTCTTAGATAGAAGCTAGCAGTCTAGCAAGATTTATAGCCAAATGCTTGATGGGACGAGATAAATCGGAGGGAATTTTGAGAGTTTCTGCTTCATTTGATAATAGAGGAACCTAAATGATATAGCTCATCAAAAATCAATCGTAACTTTGGACAAATAAGACAGAACGTTCTAAACCGATGTAGATTCAGTGCTGATCCTGTCAAATTAGATCACTCTTATTTTCATTCAGTATTATCAAGTAAATCTAATCTTCGCTTGTCGCATTTTAGCTGAAGAAGGTGTTGCATATTGCATCCACCGCCTAACCCCAACCCTCAACCCACCCAACCACATATATAACAGTGAAAAAATAGTCTTTGCAACTCGTAAAATAAGTAAATATTAATAAATACTTAATACCAATTCCAGTTTAAAGCAATATTCATCAATTAATTGACTTGAATCAAAAACTTGTCTTGAGTTTTAAACATTTTGTTTTGTAGGAAAAGACTCCGTTTGGACAGAATGGTGGTGGACTTATGATGGTATTTCAGGTTTGTGCTTCTTGTGTACATATTCTTTCATGTTAAAAACTGTTGTAAGGGTGTTAGGAGAAACTACACGTCAAGATCTATGTCAGTTTTACTATTCTATTTACGACTCTACCGGTTTCGGTAGTACTGTACCTTAATCAGTTTAAATCTTTAAAAAACTTTATGTTTGAATTATTTTTCCTTCGTTGATATTAATGTTTTAATTGATATTTGTGAGACTTTCGGACCAAAATAGTTGAATCATATGAATATTTTAAATGTTTGTGTTATAAATAAAACACTACATAAGTTCTTTTGAGGATTTCAGAATTTTCATTATTTCATTTTGTGGTTTGTGTGATTGAATCAATTCTGATTGAATTCAAGTCTGTTGCAGTAATTAATAAAGTCATAGATCTCTGTACAAAACACTATGATAGAAGAAAATAAGAACTGCCCAAATATACTTTCTTGTTTAATAAGTCTACTCATATTTGTCAAAGATTCTAAACATGATGAAAGTTATTAAAATTCATATTTAATTAATTTAAATAAAAATCTCTTTTCTATTATATGATTATTATTAGTGTCGACCTTTTGTTTCTTAATGACATTCATTCCGCAGAAAACGATATTCAGTTTTTTTATCTTTACTTTGCAAAGTAATACATGCTACAGCTCCAGTTTAATATTCAAACTTTATTTTATGCTTTTCAGTGGATTACTGATTTATCCGTGAAAATTATATTTGATAATTTCACAGTGAAAATTATCAAAATATAATTTCACACTTTTCAATGACGAAACTACTTTTTTAAGATTTTCCCCATGTGGTACCTCAATTTTATTTTTGCTGACTATTCCGTCAATATCAGGCTGTTTAAAGAAAAGCAAAGCTGAAATTGATAAATAACTTATATGTCAAAAGTAATAAAAAGAAGAAAACTTACAGTAAGTTACTTCTATTCATTAAAATTACCAATCACCAAATATCGTCTCTTTAATTTTTTGTTTCATTTTTACAGTCTGAAAAATACATTCCTTCCACATGCAAAACTGCTCTTGATGACATTTGGGAATATTTAAGTATCCTACGAGCAAAAACTGCAGTATGCTTTATGAAAACTTGAAAAGCAATGGCAGCTTTCAGTCGAAGAATATGTAAAACAACCCCGCGTTCGTAAGGCTTCCAAGTTTTCCAATTTCCTATCCACTTTTTTGAATGTTTACACATCTGTCAACACTTCTTTATTGTCTGTTACAATCCTCATATAAGTTTTCTTTCTTTTAAAAAGGTGTATGACTAACAAATCCAAATGATATCCCTCTGAATCAAACACAATTATTTTCCTCCAGTGAAATACACAACTTTAAAAATGGCGGCCGCTTACATTTAACAAAGCCAGGTCTAATATAAAAACACAGTCAGTAACAGAAATATGGATGGATGGTTGGACTTTTTCTCCTACTAGAATTGTTTGTTTTTATTATTTAAACATTGGATCAGACATATTTTTTTAATAAAATGAATACTATCACCACCATTTAACGTTGATTGTGGAACTTATTTTTTCAGCCCATGACTTCTTGTATTTAATGAGAAATTCGACTTTTTTGAGGCTCTAAATGGGGAAACAGATTTTAATATTAACGTAAATATTAAGGAAATTTCGTTTTAACTTGTTTTTAAGCATACAATAAAAAGAAAATTTGTTTGTTTGTTGTGTAAGATGTAATTTTATTTCATCTCGTGAACTTTAAAAACAGTATTCTCACTCGTGGCTACGCCACTCGTGAGAATACTGTTTTTAAAGCCCACTCGATGAAATAAAATTTCATCTTACACACAAACAAACAAATATCCTCTATATATCCACCTTTATAACACAAAATTATATTTTCTACAAACAAGAACATTGTATTAGAGGAGTAAATGTTGTATTTTTCTAAAATTACAGATTTAATTTTTTTCACTGTTGCTTAGGTTTATGACAAAAATACCTCAGTATTTTTAGTAAACACAGACATCATGTAAGTTTGCCAGAATCACGGAATTAGTGATGATGCAAATTAAATGATGTTGACTATAAGCCAATCATTTTTAGAAATTTGTTCAATTTTAGGCTTAATCAATCGAATCAAGAACGGAAAAATGTAAACAAAATAATTGTATTTTATATAGCGAAACAACAACACTTTTTTATATTTTTATGCATTAAATACATAATTATTTATTTAGTCCGGCATGTTGTCTTTCTTCAATGTTTTATCTATCGCACATATGAATAGATCAGTTAGATAGAAAACGAGCGCATTTACTGCTTAGAAGGCAATATTATTTTTCTTTATGGCACTATGAATATCTGCAAGCTAAATAACGTTAAGCTATTATATCCACAGACCTATGAACTGGAACAAGAAATGATAGTTTGATAGGCTATGAATAGTACCGTATTACCTCCAAAATGTTAACAGTCATAACTGTTTTGTTTCAATGTGTTTATGGTGCATTTTTTATTGTAATGGAACGGAAATTTCATTTCTTTTTATGAAATTAACTTCTCTCATAAGAAATGTATGGCATTTAAATTGATTTAATTGTGGAGTTTATACAAGACATTTAAGGTATTGTTTAATTATAATATAATCATCGCATAACAAATAAAAAAAAAGCAATTATGTTTAGAAAAGAAACGCTTTATATATGTTTCTTGTGTGTCTAGCATTTAGTAAAATAAACAGTTCTTGAACCAAATCAGATGAATCAGATTTGTTTTTTTAGAATGTTTATGACAATGATAAGTATTCCAGGGAAAACAAATGAGAATTGTGTATTGTTTTACCACATGGGACGCTGAATGTGTCTATGATTAAATGTGATCTCAATTTGATTAGCTACTACATGGAAGTGATCTGTGAATGAGCAGCAATCTTTCCATTTAATCATGTTTCCTGTTATTTCGACCGCTGCAAAGACTGTCAATAATTATGTATTTTATTTCCTGTCGGAGCTAAATAAGGCAGTTTCAAGATTGCTTATATTTCCAGTTAGTTAAGATTGTTTTTATATATCAAATGAATAATTATATGATAGAAGAGAGATCACTAAGCTCAATAACTACAATCATGTTTTTTGTGAAATATATTGGTCAGTTGAGTCAGTAAATGTGTTTCCTAAGCAGTCTGACTTTTCGATGTCTCCTTCAACGCTTTCAGTTCGAACCCCGTCATTCAATAACGGTTTCTTTTTAATGTGAAGGTTGCTGGTGGTTCTACTCTAATGTCATTTTTACCTGACATTATTCATGAAAAGGTACCTTTCTCCACTTATCGCCATGGCATTCACAGTTTGTGTGTTTAGGAACCCAACAAAAAGAAATAATTTGTTTAAGAAAATTTCAATATAATCTTTATATTCCATTGCAATTTTATTTTGGACAGGGCCAGATTGGTGGGGTTCACGATGGCCAATATGCGACAAAGGAAAATATCAATCTCCGATAGATATCAAACCTGAAAGGCTGTTGTTTGATCCAAAATTGTCTGGAATCATGTTTTCTAGTGATAAAAAGGTATTAGATATTTTAAGATTTCAAAATGATAAAAATAGTTTCTTTTACAGAAAATCCACTGTGAGCGTAATGTTACCACAATAAAAGCAGTCTTGAAAAAGAATCCTTCTTTAACGTTAAATAAACCAGCCATAAATAGCATCAAGCATCATCCGATGTTAAAATATTAACAGACAATAAAAATTATTTTAAATCATAATCAATGTGATAAATAAACTTAAAGATCCTGTATGTTGTAATTAAGGTTGTTATCACACTTAAGTGAAATTTTATAGATGTATATAATTATGCTTCTTAAACAATTTTCAAACATCGAAGAATATGTAAAATATGTACTGCAAATATTTGTCCACTTCATATGTAATCATAAAAATATATGCATTCATTTCTTTATGAAAAATCTGACCTAGACACTATAGAAAATAAATTTCTAATTACCTCCCTTTATTAATATGAAATGTAAATTCGGTAATATATGTACAAATAATGTTTTTTTGGAACTTACAACATTGATAAATCTTCATTTGAGCATTATATTTATGATATAAAACCATAAAAACATGAGTTACAGGATCTTTAAATAACTGATTGGCAAAGAACAGATTGTATAATAAAAACAGATCTAAGTGTTTTTATCCAAAAGGAAATGCATAGTTTATACTGGTAATAAGTCTTTTAGTCGGTGCTTCTTAATGTTTGTGTTTATAACATAACTGTACTAAATGTACGATATATACCATTTCATTATCAAAAACAACTTCCTATATTAATACCAGTATAACTATAATATCAGTATAGTCTGCAATTTTCATGTAATTTTGTTGTGATTAATGCTTCCGAGAGATCGCTTTGATTCCAGACTTTTTGTTATTAATAAATATTTAACCGAATTCATATGCATACGTTCCACTCAATGAATTTCACAAAAAAAACATATCATATGTATTGATATTACAATATACAATTCCATGGATATATTTCTCGTTTTTTTTTAAATTAACCTGCTAAGTGCCGTATGCAAAAAAAATAATAATCAATTAATTGATTAAAAATTGCTGAAGTTACTATTTCATGTTCAAAATCAAGCAGTACTTGAATTGTGTTTTGTATAAGAAACATTGTGCAAAAGTATATTATAAGTATATTATACCGTATGATAAAAAAGTATATTAAAAGATATGATAACATCATATCATGAAAATCATATCATGAACGTTTTAAGATACACAAGACATGATAATGTTTGACATTTTTTGATGGTGACTATCCAATATCTTTGATCAAATAACAACCCTCTAGAGGAGTATAGTGGACAAATATCACGTGACTAACATAGAATTGTTTTTATATATGGAAAATTTTAAAGACAAACAAAATGAATGAAAAACTATACTATATTGAAAACAACTCTTTTCATTTATTTAAAGGATAATTATATTCTCAAAACAAGTACATGTAAACAATGTTAGATCAATCTGATTAGATGTTAGGCACGAATCTGCGCGAAGTAATGGACATAGATAACTCTGTCAACAGGTTAATTTACTTTGAACTGAACTAAACATGTTTTAATGCTTTTGCATATCTTCAAATTTGTTCCAGTATAATATTAACCGACAACACATAGCAATAAATTTAATTATTCACCATTGAAGCCAACAAATCAATGTTAACATTTGTTACATAAATGACAAACTCATACAATGTTTACATGATTTCTTTTAGTTTTCGTTTTGTCTATTTTGGTAACAGAGATGATTATTTTGTTAAGGCTTAATTAAAGAAAAACACGCAATGTGCATGTATAAAGTTAATACTTAAAAATGAGGTACTCCATTAAAAGCTATATGTGAAAGTCTAATCCACTTTGTACTTTAAATCAATCAAACTTGACATTTAACAGGTGGTTTTTTTTTCTATAATATCTTTTCATAATGAATGGCATAAAAATTAAGATTTCTTTTACTACTGTACTTCTAAATCAAACATATTGTGATACCAGTGATAATAATAAAGTAATTACTTTCTATACATGAGACTCTAGTATAAAGATTTGGCCTGAATATGTAAGCATATTATATTTTATGTGCCTTTAGGTAAATGGAAATCTAACCAATACAGGGAATGATGTAACACTATTTGTGGAAGAGGTACTCATTCCTCACCTCAATGTAACATCAGGTCCACTTCAGTATAACTATCACTTGCACCAGATGAAGCTTCATTTTGGACATGACGAAACTAGTGGATCCGAACATACCATTAATGGTCTTTCATTTCCAGCAGAGGTAAGCCTAACTTGGAGAGTTTTCTGAAGTTCTTCGTCATTATCTTTTCGAAACATATTTATCAGATACTAAAAGGCAGCGTTACTTTTGGTTTATACAGAATTTGTTTTAGTTCGATTGTGTAGAAAGCTTATAGACATATTCTTGAATTTGTTCCTGGAACCAAACAGTACTGAGCAATACTTGTAAAGTTTCCTACTCAAGGAAACAACGGGCATTGAACTCACACGGATAGCGATCCTCAGATTACTAGTCAGCTACCTGTGTGAACCACTTAGCCATGTGGCAACCTTTAAGTTTTAAAAAAAGACAAGTTTACATATAATATATGTTTTATTCCAAGAGTCTTGAATGTTTAAGGCATTATTGTGGTGCTGTAGTGTGATTGTTTAGCTTTGTTTCTTTATGTTTTTTTTTTCTATTCTTATATGTGATGGTTGTTTACTTGCAGTTGCAGATAATCGCATTTAACGCTGATTTATATCTAAATTACTCACACGCATTGTCTTCCCCGAACGGTTTGGCTGCGTTTTCAATTTTTCTTGAGGTATGTATTAATAGTTTTAAACCATGGCTAAATTAATGCATTTGTAGAAAAATGTTATAATTATAAATTATCATATATCAGTTAAGATGTATTTTAAGATTGGCAAGTTTGTTGCTCGGCGTTTGAATTTAGCAAATTAATGAAAGTGCCTTTGAATTTAAAACATGATAAATAGCTCACTGTAGTTTTATGTATCACTTTTTCTGAGCATATTATTAAATTTTACATCTAAAATCACTCGCACTTTTTTCTGTAAATATTAATAGTTATTCAAACGATTAGAACTATCCAAGTAGCACATTCAATTGCCCACACATGACCACTTGTCATACTATTCAAAGCTTGAACTTGTGTCTAAACATGATTTATCAAATGTTTCTAACCAACGCATTCTAAAACAATGTTTGATCATATTGAACACACATTCTTCATACATTTCACAAATGTTTACTTAAACCAAGTGATAGGGAATAATTTAATTGTGATATTCAAAAGGGAAATTATAGCTTGTTTAATCTATTAAAATTGATGGAATACAATTAAATAATATAATTAATATATTTATTTACATTCCCTTGAAAATTGCAACTTCGCCATCGGCGTTCATTGCTTAATTAATAGAAAATGACTTTTCTATTCATTTCCATTTGCATTGCTAAAAAGTCGATTAAAGAACAAAACATGTGTTCTTGACTCAAATTTTGCAATTTTAACGATAGTCTAATACATATGAATGAATACATGAAATTATGTATAGTTGGCAATTAGCATTGCTATTTTATATGACATCAAATAAATTATCGATTACTTCCCTACCATGACATTGATCGTTTTAAGAAGTTTGTTTTTATACATATTAAGAACGCTCTGATATATAAATATAGATATAGACCACTTTAATGCTATCTTTCAGTGGTGTAGTAATTCCATTAAAGAGTTGATGAGTAAGGTAGTTTATTCCTAATCGATACATTATATTATACAGGTGGGAGAAAAACCAAACGAAGCGTTCACAATGATCACTGATGCCTTAAAGCATATTCCGTCAAAAGGTAATATTCATATCCCCGATGATATGAACATGGTTATAATCTTTTACTCGGAGTATGGTTTCATGGAGTTTTGTTCTGCAAGAGTTTATATGTTTTGACCTGTAGGTAAAAAATTCTGTGAAAAAGCATTTTTTACCTGAGTTTATTTAATTAATCAATTAAAATGTTGTATAAAATATTTTTCTAAAATTTGTGTATGGTTAAGTGAGTGCTTGTCACAGTTTAATGATGTATTACTACGTCGTAGTGCAATTTTGTCTCTGCTTAATGCGCTGTTTTGCAATGTTGTAAAGTTCATATTTGACGTTACTAATCTGACCTTGCTGAAATTAAATTAATAATAGCTGTTGACCTTATGGTGATCTATGAACGATCCAGTGTCCAGAAATGTTGATAATGCTATTTTATCTTCTGCAAATTATATTACATAATGCCTAATTTTGATTTATTCGATATAAGTTATATATTCAATGTATCATAAGCCTAATGTAAATAGAAATATGTAAGCATCAGTTCGGGAAAAAAACAAATCATGTTTACACTTGTGAATTAAAAATTGATATTATATTAGTCCAAGAGATGGCGGGGTTTTATTGCAATTTACCGTATCACCAAAAGAAACATTATCATTATAAAACATATTGTTTGTAGTTTCTAAAAACCCATTTCTTAAGTTACGCAGCCCGGGCAAAAGTACAAAAATTCAAGATGGCCGCCAATATGGCCGCCATAAATTACAAAATACCATATAATTTTTGTTTCTTGATTTTTTACATACAGATTTTGTACAAAGTAGTTTTGATTGCACAATATCAGGAAAAATATGGGTAATTTATGTCATTATTAAGCAAAAATGACAATTATATGACAAACTTAAAAATTATCACTATCAATTTACCAAAAAAGTGGTAAAAAATAGCATTTTTTGACAATATGATGACTTTCGTTTTTCCGTATTAAAATAATATATATGGAATTGCATTGAAATTGTGTGTATTTTATCAATTTAACATAGCTTGACAAGTTAAGCATAAAAAATCATTATCTGAGTATTAATGATGTAAGAGTAGAACTTCAAAAGTGGGTGGGGTAAAAATACCGAAAAATATTTAAAATTACAATGTTCCCAAATCATGCCTTTACATTATAATTTCAGTTTAATGTATAGGAATTTGTGTTTTAGTCTAAAGGTATTTGTCATTTGAACATTTCTTGATAAGTTAAGCATAAAAATTCATTACCTGATTATTTATCACAGATGAGTACAGCTTCAAAAGTGGGTGGGGTAAAATAATCGAGAAAGAAAGAGGGAAAAAAGAAGAAAAAAATCAAAATTATTAAGCTTCTAAAGCTGCCTTTACTTTACAATTATAGTGTAGTTATCATGTAATTGATTTTTGTGATAAAAAATATAAAGATTGTTTTACATTAAGGAAGAAAGAGAAACATCATGTCATCGCAATTTAAAATTATCACAAAAAATGATACCAAAACACATTTTTGAGATTTTGTTGCCTTAAAGATATACCGTAGAATGAAATTACGTCAAAGTTGT